ATTCTGTTTAGATGTTTTATTTATTACTGAAAGTGGAGTATTAAAGTCTCTAACTCTTAATATACAATAATCAATTTCTCCTTTAAATTCTGTCAGTTTTTGCCTCTTATATTTTGAGGGTCTGTTCTTAGGTGTGTAAATGTTTTAAACGATTGTATCTTCTTGCTGTATTGAAACTTTTACCAATATATAATGTCTTTCATTGTCTTGTTACAGTTCTTGACTTAACGTCTATTGTTTCTCATATTAGTATAGCCAACACAGATCTCTGTTATTACATTTTCCATGGTATATCTTTCTGTATCCTTTCACTTTCAATCTATTTGTGTATTTGGATATAGGTTGAATTTCTTGTAGATAGAATATAGTTAGATCATGTTTTATTAATCTATTCTGCCAACCTCTGCCTTTTATTAGAGACTTTAATCCATTAACATGCAAAGTGATTACTGATAAGGAAAGATTGCTTCTGCCATTTGGCTACTTGTTTTCTGTATGTCTTACAGGCTTTTGTCCCTCATTTCCTCTGTAATTGTCTTCCTTTGCATTTAGTTGATTATTTTGTCTGAGCCATTTTGATTCCCATATCATTTCCCTTTGTGTATATTCTTTAGATATTTTGTTGTTATTGTGGCAATTACATTTAATATCTGAACTTATAACAATATAATTTGAGTTGACACCAACTTAATTTCAATAGTTAAACTCTTTTCTATATAGCTCTGTCCTTTCCTTTATTGTTGTCATAGGTTATATCTTTATACATTTTGGGCCTAATAACATTGAGTTATATCTTATACATTTGTCTTTTGAGCATGTAGAAATAAAAAGTGTAATTACAAAATAAAAATACAATACTTGATTTTGTATTTGCCCATGTATTTACCTTTACTGGAATCTCTATTCATACAGCTTTGAGTTACTGCCTGATGTCATTTCATTTAAACTTGGACTCCCTTTAGTGTTTCTTTTATGGCAGGTCTAGTGGTAACAAACTCCCTCAGGTTTTGTTTATTTGGGAATGTCTTAATTTCTCCCTTAGTTTTGAAGGACAGTTTTGCTGGATATAGAATTCTTTTTTTTTTTTTTTATGTGTATTTATTTTTGGGACAGAGAGAGACAGAGTGTGAGCAGGGAGGGACAGAAAGAGAGGGAGACACAGAATCTGAAGTAGGCTCCAAGCTCTGAGCTGTCAGCACAGAGCCCCACGTGGGGCTCGAACTCATGAACCGTGAGATCATGACCTGAGCCAAAGTCTGACGCTTAACCGGCTGAGCTACCCAGGAGCCTTTGGGTATTGAGTGACAGTTTTTCTTTCAGCACTTCAAATATGTTATCCCACTGCCTTTGGGCCTTCATAATTTTGATGAGAAATTGGTTGTTAATCTTATTGAGACTCCTTTGTATGGGAAGAGTTGCATCTTTTGCTGTCTTTATGAGTCTCTCTTTGTCATATAATCAGTTTACTATAATGTGTCTTAGTGTGGGTCTCTTTGAGTCCATACTTGAAGTTCATTGAGCTTCTTGGATTTGTAGATTCATGTAGATTCATGTTGATACAAATGTGTCATTAAAAAAAACCCAAACTTACTGGTTTTATCATAAAGAAAATATATAATATATAGCTAAAGGTATGCTATTAAAGTTTCTCAAGAATATATTTGATAGTTTATAAATTACCATTCTAAAATTAAGTCTCCCTTGGGGAGCCTAGGTGGCTTAGTCAGTTGGGCAACTAACTTTGGCTCAGTTCATGATCTCACAGTTTGTTAGTTCGAGCCTTGTGTGGGGCTCTGTGCTGACAGCTCAGAGCCTGGAGTCTGCTTCAGATTCTGTGTCTCCCTCTCTCTCTCTCTGCCCCTGCCCCACTTGCGTTCTATCTCTCTCTTCATCTCAAAAATGAATAAACATTTAAAATTTATAAAAAAGGAAATAAAATTAAATCCCCCTTCTCTGCTACCTATTTTTAAAATATGTATACTGACACTAATGGAAAAACTAGGGAAATCCAAATGATCTCTGGAGTTTAGTTCATAGTAAGGTACCAATGCTGGTATCTTAATTTTGACTAATGTGCCATGGTAATATAAGACTGATTAGAGAAAACTGTGTTGGGGGTGTATGGAAACCTCTCTGTATTACCTTTGCAACTTTTTTGTGAATCAAAATAAAATTTGTATTTAAAATAATTATTATATGTAAAAGTTTACACATACTAACATCCCTGCTTTTAAAAAATATTATGGGCTAGAAGAGTAAATTTCATAAATATATGAAACAAATTATAAGAAGATGTTATTAGTAATACTAAGATCTCCAAAAAATGTGTTTTTCTAATTTCTTTTGAAACCCCTACTCCACAGCTGCTTATCAGCCATTATTCTAATTTTAGAGACTGGTTTGTTATTCTAGGTTGGGTTTTTTCCCATATTTATCTAATAAAAGAAAGATCAAATCTGACACAAACAGTGTATGAATTAGTACAAGAAAATCTGTTTTCTGAATCGTATCTTGGTCCTGTAATACAGAATTAAAGAATGGTGTTATGCCTTACTACCAAAGGTAGAAAATTACGGCATTTTATCATATCTTTATGAAACACTTTGCCTCTATCATAATATCTCACATTAAGTATCAATGGAAGAAATCTTTTATTTTTGTGTTCTAGTAAATTAAAAGTCTTTAACTATTGTATATTGTTGTGAACTCAAAAAACAAGTAGATAACAAGTGAACTGAGAACATAGAAACCAAAGCAGAATAAAGGAGGACGAGCACAACACTATCTCAAAGGCTGACAATTAGATCTTAAACATAATATATTAAAAAAAAAAACAATAAAAGTAAAGGTTGACTCTAGAAGCTTCAGATTGGTAACAGTCATTCATTCATTCATTCGTTCAAAAAGTGTTTACTATCCACCTTTTCTGTGTCAGTCACCATGAGGGATTCAATTCTGAGCAAAAACAGACAACTGATCCCTTGGTTCCCTGGTACCCTAGTGTACAAACCAATGGGGTAATGGATTGGAACAGGAGCTAGTACAAAGAATGATTGCAAAAGAAATTAATGTGTGTGTATGCATGTGTGTGTGCATGTATTTTTAATTCATGTCAGGATTTTTTTTTTCAACGTTTTTTTTTAATTTTTTTTATTTTTGGGACAGAGAGAGACAGAGCATGAACGGGGGAGGGGCAGAGAGAGAGGGAGACACAGAATCGGAAACAGGCTCCAGGCTCCGAGCCATCAGCCCAGAGCCTGACGCGGGGCTCGAACTCACGGACTGCGAGATCGTGACCTGGCTGAAGTCGGACGCTTAACCGACTGCGCCACCCAGGCGCCCTCATGTCAGGATTTTAAAAGAGGTTTTAAGTAAGGAATTATTTGCTGACATTACATGTTTTCCCTAAGTGCAAATATATATAGTCTGTCTTTTTCACAGCCCTTAGGAACAGATAATATTCATGATCTGCTAACCTCATTTGTTCCCAGGGAAAAATAAAACAATTTCATAGTAGTGTCAGAAAGGGTCTCAGTTTCTGTTAGGGTTTTTTGGTTTTCTGGGGGGTTTTTTTGGGTTTTTTTTTTTTTTTTTTTTTTTGCATATTACCTTTTACTGATAGTATGGTTCTATTTTTGTAAAAATATTATATAAATGTAGATGTTTCCATGTATACATATTTTAATATACCTAAGGGTGTCTGTGGGAGAAAGGAGAGGAATATTTCATTTTTTACTTTCTATTTACCTGGATTACTTGATTTTGTTATAGAGACATGTTGCTTTTGCAACTTTACAGAGGTAAAGTGTATGTAGAACAATCTGGGCTGAACTTGGAGTGGAAGGGGAGAGGCTAACATTTGCAGAATTAAAATAGGATGAAAACATTCTGTTGGGGGAGGGCAAACTGAGCTCATGCTGAGGCCTTCACATCCCCATCCCTACAAATAGAAAAAAAATATTTCAAAAACGAATAAATCCTTAGTCCCACTGGAAAACAAGAGAACCCTTGGTGGATCAGAAAAAGCTCTTAAAAAAAAAAAAAAAGAAATCTGGGATTAGCAAAGGCCACTGATCAAAACATTCACAGGAGCATCTGGTTATAGAAGGTAGGAACAGCTCCAAGAAAGCCCCAGGCCTGCCCTGTACCCTAGGTGGGGACAGGGATACAGGTACAGTACCCTGGGTCTCAGGTAACTCACTTCAGGTGACTGATTTAGGGACCCCAGCAGGAGAAATCAGGAAGATCAGCTCTTGAACAACAGTGCTGTTCGCCCACCCATGTGAATAGCAAAACTTTACAATTCTTATTTGGGCTACTTTGAGCATAGTACACTAAGGTAAGTGACCAGCAAGATTCATCTAGTATTTTAAGAATTTGCATAGGATAATGGAAACTCAACTTTTGCGTTGAAGTTAAATTATTTATACCTTGTTTTGTTTTGGAAAGTGCCATAAAAGCAGTCTAAGGTATAGTTAAGATCTCAAATATCAAATTAGAAATTAGAGGGACAACATAAAGCTGGGCCTCAGGACTTCCATGAACAGACTGTACACTCAGTCCCAGTCGCCCTGAGACTTGGGAGAGGACCTGATGGTCTATGGGCTGTTAACTTACAAAAGGAGTCAAACTAAACAAGGTCTTTATTTAGGGTCTCAGAATTGCAGTTTGGGGAGAACCGATTCTGGAGTAATCAGAAAAGTGTCCTGCTCCTATGGGAAAGCAAGGGGTTTTTTGTTTTTTGTTTTTGTTTTTTTTTCTTCTTCTTTTTTTTTTTTTCAACGTTTATTTATCCTTGGGACAGAGAGAGACAGAGCATAAACGGGGGAGGGGCAGAGAGAGAGGGAGACACAGAATGGGAAACAGGCTCCAGGCTCTGAGCCATCAGCCCAGAGCCTGACGCGGGGCTCGAACTCGCGGACCGCGAGATCGTAACCTGGCTGAAGTCGGACGCCCAACCGACTGCGCCACCCAGGCGCCCCGCAAGGGGTTTTTATGAGAAAGAAAGAAGGGGTCATTTTATGATTTAGAGAAAAAGAAGACCAACCTCCCAATTCGGTGCTAATTTTGATTATCATCTAATCGATTATTTTATTGGCGCTATCAAAAGAACTATACCTGGTATGCGTTAGTTAACTTTTATGTCTTCATAAAGTTCATATTAACAGTTTTATGGCCCGAATGCCAGTTATTCTGTTGGATTTTATGAGCAACTGCTTGTAAAACAATCACCGCTTCTGGTACAGTTCAAGAATTCATTAGTTAGAAAGGAAATAGAGCTTCAAAACGGAGTCGTTCCTGTGCAGGAACGAAATTTTATGCAATCACACAGGACGTGACCTTGGCAGAGGTCTGAAAGGCATCAAGGTCGACCCGCGAGTCTTCTGGCGTAATGTGTGGAAGTCTTCCCCTTAGGCTGGACGGCGGACACAGTCAATGCCAGCACCCCATGCCGCCCTTGGTCAGGGCAGATGCCAGCTCAGCTCACTCTGAACGCCAGTCTCCTCCTCTTCTCCGGGTACTCCAGCTTCCCCGGCCTGACCACACTCCCCTCCCCCCTGGCCGAGGCACCTCTGGCGCGGTTGCAGCCGCGGAGAACTCGAGGAGAACTGGCCGCCTCTCCTGGAAATTACCTTCTAATAGAAACCAAGAACGAGCGAATACAACTAATTACAGACGGTGGCTAGTACCGTGTAGGAAATACACAGGAAGCTGTGGTAGAAACTAACAGGCCTCCTCAGGATGTATGAGGTGTCACTTGACCCTCCTCTACTTGGCCCTGGCCCCAGGTGAGTCACCCCATGTGATCCTCCTTCCAGGCCCTGCTGCAGCGGCGCCCAAGTGCCTCCCCCTGGTCCCAGGTCCTCCCCTCCAACCCTCGGCCCTAGCCGGGTTCCGCCTGGGATCCCGCGGCCCCTCCAAGGCGCGGTGAGCGGGACCTCCGGGAGCTCGGCTTGCAACTGGGCGCAGGGCGGCGGAGACCCCGGGATGTGCTCTCCCGGGCGCGAACCCGGGAGGGCCGGCCGGAAGTGCTCGGCCGGTGCAGGGGGTGCCAGGGGCGTGGCGAAGAGGAAGGGGCGCGTCGGGAGTGGGCGGCAGGCAAGTGATCCCGGCGTCTCAGCCTCGCAGCCTCGCTCGCTCTGCTCTCGGGCGAGAGAGGCGGGGGGCGGGCGTGGGGGTGGGGGTTAGGAAGCGGGCCGGGGTCGCCAAGGGGGCTGGGCGGTTGCCTGACAGCTTTCGGAACTCCGTGCTCCGTTATCGCCCAGTCCAGCTCAACTCCCAGGCCGACTCGAGCCCTTCCCAGCCTGCCTCTCCTCTTTTTCCGGGAGCATCGTGATCTGCCCTCGATGACTCAACCCCGAGTTCCGCCCGCTAACTCACCCTTGTCGCCTTCTAGGTTACCCATAACCGAGGCGTCCCAACCCCCTCCCGCCTAGCCTTCCCTGCAGCCTTTCCTGCAGACACCGCAGGTTCTGATCCCTCCAGCCCAGGCTGGGGAAGAACGGATGGGGCCCCTCCCAAGCCACCAAGTGTTACCAACCTACCCCCTCCTTTCAGCCCCCACATCCCCACAGGCTGAGCATTTCAGCATTTGACTCACCTTTTTCACGACCCATCCCTCTGGCATCACAAGTTCACACTTCTGCAGATTTTAGGGTCTGCACCAGACCCTATACTTATTCTGTTCTTTTTTTTTTTTTTTTTTTTTTAATTTACATCCAAGTTAGTTAGCTTATAGTGCAACAATGATTTCAGGGGTAGATTCCTTAATGCCCCTTACCCATTTAGCCCATCCCCCCTCCCACAACCCCTCCAGTAACCGTCTGTTTGTTCTCCATCTTTAGGAGTCTCTATGTTCTGTCCCCCTCCCTGTTTTTATATTATTTTTGCTTCCCTTCCCTTGTGTTCATCTGTACACCTACTCAGTTCTAACGACGACATTGCCACTCAACCACAGACCGTTAGCCTCCTTCTTTAAAACTCTCTTCTCTTTTGTGTGTTGTTAGTAATTCTCTTTCCAGATTCATTTCATGCCTCTGGCTTCTCTTTGTCTTTTTTTGGCTCTTCTTTTCCTCTGTTCATCCTTATGTATTGGTATTCCTGAGGGTTGGATGCTGTCCCCGGCAAACCTCTCCAGCCCGTAACTTCACTGACATCCATTTGCTGATGACCCCTACATTGACCTCTGGCGCCTAGACCCCTCACCTGAGCCTTCCATGGAAACTCAACCTACCCTAACCAAAGCAAAATTCATTCCCTTCTCCAAAGTCATTTGCCTTCCTGTTTCCAAACTTCCAATCTTGTTCACTGATGTTGCCATTCACTAGCTCTTCCTAGTGTAATCTGAAAATCGGCGAAGATTCCTCCTTCGTCCACTCATCCAACAATTTCCAGGTCTTGTCCTACCTTCTTCCTGAACAGCTTTTCTTTCTGTTAAAAAGAAAACCATAGGCCCAAAATGGTGTTACTTAGGCCAGACCAGGTTACCGAAACACAGCTTAATACAGTTGCAGTTTCAAACTCCCCCAGAAATGTCTTAACAGGTCGATCTGGAATTTTCTGATGGGTGTCAGTGAGTCTGTCACATGGCCCTCTCCATGACCCGCCCCTCCACTTCTGGGTAAATCTGATAAAACTCCCTGTGCTTCCCCCTAAGGGAGAGTGACCTTGTCCAGATTGATCCCTTTCTTTTGCTTGTAACCTTCTGGCCCTACCCTCCTTGCCATAAAAATAACTCCTTTTTGAGAGTTTTCATTTTGTACAATTCCTCAGAGAGCCTCTCTGTTTGCTAGATGGGATGCTGCCTGATTCAGGAATCATTTAACACAGCCAATTAGATCTTCAGGTTTACTCACTTGAATTTTGTTTTTTAATACTTCCATCCCCTCTACCCGTCCTGCCACTGCCCTGATTGGGGTCTTTCATTTCAAGTATTGCAGCTCTGATACTTCTGTTTTTTCCCATCCCACTTGTCTGCATTCCTGCAGAGCAGTCTTCCCAGTACATAACTGCTTATGTGACCCACAGTCCAGAATTCTTCAGAGAGTCTCTGCAGCCTATAAGATAGAATAAAAATTTACTGGTATGACATATAAAGCCCTTTATAGATGTCTAAACTGCCTCATATTTTATGATATTGCAATATTTGTTGTTTCCTCCAACAGGCATACTTTTGCAAAGTTCTCTGACTCCTGGTTTGGAATACTGTCCTCTGATTAGCTCAGCATCATTCTTCAGATCTCTGCTCAAGTGTTATGGGTGTGTGATGCCTTTCTTGATTTCCCCAGCCAGACTCCTTGTTGCTGCTTCTACTTTTTCTTACCCCTTATACTAAGGGCCATTAGAGCACATATCACTATTTCATTTGTTTGCATATCTGTATAAGGAAAAGCCACAGTTCAGTATTTCTCTTGAATAGAGAAAAACTCAGTCCTTTCCTTCTCCTGTGTTTCTCTCCCACGTGTCTCCTTTACTTCTCATGCAAAACACTTTACTTCTGACCCTTCTCGTCACCAAATGTATGTGGGGGACTTCTCACATCAAGCAGGTCTTCGCAGCACCAGCTAAAGTCCTATAATTCCACTAAATTCTAGCACATTCTACCTACAGATCATGTCAGGTCCCACAGGTTATGGGCTCAGTCCCACAAGGCTGCTCCCCACTCACCTTCAACTTCAGATGCCAGTTGCAAGTAATAGGATTCCCAGGTTACCCACAATTTCTGTCCAATTTGGCTATTAATGGGAGATTCCTATGCCCCCCCACCCCGGTTTGATTAATTTGTTAGAGTGACTCACAGAACTCAAGGAAACACATTTATCAGTTTATTAAAATATAAATAAAGGATGTAGATGAATAGATACATAGGGCGAGGTCTGGGAGGGTCCTGAGTGCAGGAGCTTCTGTCCTTTGGAGTTGGAGGTTCACCACCCTCCCAGGGTGGATGTGTTCGCCAATGGAGTAGCTCCCCGAATCCCATCTTCCTGGGATTTTGTGGAGGCTTCATAATATAGGCATAATCAGTCATTAATTCTACTTTCATCCTTCTTCCATCTCAAGAGAATGGGGGAGGGGAAGGGCTGAAAATTCCAAGTTTCTAATCACAGCTTGGTCTTTCCAATACCAGCTCTCATCCAGGAGCCATCCAGGACCCCACGGAGAAAAAAGACACTATTATTAACCGAGGAAATACAAGGGTTTCGGAAGTCCTATGTCAGTAGCTCAAGTCAACGACCAAATATTACAACAAAGGAAGTTCCTAGTGTTCTTATCACTTAGGAAATTACAAAGGTTTCAGGAGCCTTGCGTCAGGAGCCGGGGCAGAGACCAATATATATTTTTTCTATTATCTCTTAATATCTATTTGGTATCTTGAGGTCAGGGACCTGTCTTCTATCATTATATTGCCAGACCCTAGTGTAGCTCCTGGCCTGTAGTAGGTGCTCAATAAAAGTTCTTGGCGTGAATGAAATCATTGGTCATACCACCAGTTAGGAGGTCACGTACCATTTCATGAATGCCAGGAGTTCATATAATAAAGTTATTAAGGCTGATGAACAAACATCAAGTTATCCAAGAATAACACTGCAAATGATCTGAAAGACTTTGCTCATCATATTGCTTAAATAACTCACAAGATAAGAACTCCCTGTCTTTGTGAGGATCTTATATTGCCTTTGGAATCCATGATGGCCCGGGGAGAAAGTGTATATGTTGCATAGTAGTGGCCAGGTGATAGAGCCCCGCCCTCAGCCCTTGCTGTTTTAGGGGCTTAATGAATAGTTCCCTCCCTCATGAGGGACTGAGGTTCTCTACCTTGAGGTGGATGGACACCCAGAAAGTAGTTGAACTGCTTGCCTTTGTTTAAAAAGAATGAAAATGTTCTCACCAGCTTTCACTAAGTAGGAGTATTGAAAATGCACGTCGTGTGTCCCTGTTTGCTTTCACTCTACGATACCCAAGCCTGCATTTTGAAATTAAACCTCATGCCCTTTGTGCAAAATCTAGTGCATCATCAAGGGTTTTGCACTCCTTGAGCACTAAGCTTGGCCAAGAAGGCACCCTTCTGGGTTTCCAAGGTCACCACTCAGTGTTGTGAGTCCTAGCTTCAGCCCCTTGCCTCCCTTAGCACCTTCTGAGAGACAGAAAGGTAGGGTCTGGAGGGACTTTTTACATCTCAGCACAAGCCATGAATGGACTGAAATTAGCCTCCTGATGGCTGAGCCCTTCTCTCAACAGTTTTTGTTCGTTTGCTTGCTTTTTTAAGTTTTAGGAGTTTCTTTACCACAGGGCCCTGGTCAGGGCTGATCTGGTCAAGCACACTAAGTCTCTCTAACTTTGCATTTGGGGAAACAGTTTCCTTGGGCTTCTCATGTAAATTCATCCAGCTCGCTTCAGCAGTGCCCTGGACCTCAGGGTGACACGGCCCAGAGTTGGCGGCACCCTATCCCAGGAAGATGGGTTTCCATTCACGTTTCTTTTTATTTGCATTCTGAAATGGACCACCCACGTGATTCCAGATCAAATAAGACAAGCTTCTCTTGATGAGGGAAAAGAAAGAGAAAAAAAGCGAGTGAGGAACCTTTAGTGATTTAGCTATTTCTTAAAATCGTATGATCATGAATATGAAAAAAATCTCCAGAGTAATAAGATTCTCTTAATTGAACTCAGATTTTAAATAAGAGAGCATGGTTTCAAAAGAAATAAGTGAATAAAAAAATGCATGAAGTAAAATAACAAACATAGATTCTGGAAAACACCTTCTGTGTTCACACAGAACCAGCTCTAAGCCTCTTCCTATGGACACCTGGCTTTCAGGTACTAGGTTAACCTGCTGGGCCAGAAAGTGCAAATTTCACCTGAGCCCCTGGATTACAGATGGCCTAAAGTAACAAAGAATAACCATTAACATAGACAGAAGCAGCATTGCTTTGCTTCACCATCATATTCTTGACAAAGATTAGATTTTCCTTTAAATCAGACAATTTCCTAGTATTTTCCTGGCTGCTTCTGACTGTGACTATGCAGAAAGCAAATGGCATGCTCAACTCTGTTCAGGCCTTAAAACACAGTCCTTCTAGCTGACCTCCAGTTCTACCTAGCCTTCTTATTCATCACAGTGAAGATTCTTCAAAGAGTTTCTTAGAAGAAAGACATCTCCACATGTCTCTTTTCATCCTAAATCCCACTCACTTTGATGGTTGTCTTAACTGTCACCAAGGTAAGTGTTGACGTGGGAATGTCAAATGGACTCTCCCTGCTTTAACTCTCCATTCCTCTAACGCGAGCTGCTCTCCATTGTCCAGCTTCTGCTCTTCTCCATCTGCTTTTGTGCTTTTTTCCCTAGCAACCTTTTAGAATGTTGGTTGCTATTGCCTGGGCTTCTGTCATCAGACGGATGCCTTCCTGATCAGGAAGCTCCACTGGGCTGAGTGCATCCCTCTTCTGGCTTCTAGCTCCTGTATCCCATAGCTTTGTCTTTGTTTCTACTTGTGTCCTGGACATCTTCACCTAAATGTGTTACAAGCACTATAAAGCGCTTTTGACTCAAACTAATTCTTTATTTGACCCCGAACCTATCCTCTTCTCATATTCTCTGAGTTAATTATATCATCTTGTGTCTAATTATTTGAGTTAGAATACTGAAACATTGCTGGAACTCCATTCTTTTCCTTGTCCCTTCCCCCTAAATCCACTTGCACATTAGATCCTATGGTTTCTGCTTCCTGCTTAGCTCCCTGCTTCACTGTTGCCACTACTTAGGCTTAGGCCCAAATGGCCTAAAGCCAACTCCTAACTAACCAACCCCTGGGCACTTTCTTCTGCATCCAAACCATCCTAAAGGCTGATGCTAAAGTCAGAAAAAAAGGGAAGGAGGAAGGGAGGGAGGAAGAGAGAGGAAGGGAAAGTAGGGAAAGGAGCGAATGAATGAATCCGGTTAATCCTCTAGTTAAAATCTTACAATGCCTCCCCATTGCCTGACCAATAAATCCCAAACTCCTTAGATTGGCGTAAGAACTCTTTCCAGGCCAGCCCTAACTTGCCCATTTAACTCTACTTATTCTGCTAGAGAGACATCACATTCACATAACTTTTATTACATATATTACCATAATTGTTCTATTTTATTATTAGTTAATATCTTACTGTGCCTCATTTATAAATTATGCCTTATCATAGGCATGTATGTACAGCAAAAAACATAATATGCATAGGGTTTGGTACTAGACAGATTCAGGCATCCACTGGGGATCTTGGAACAGATCTCCCCACGATTGAATATTGCAAACACAATCTCTTTTGCATCCATCTGAACTGCTAAAAAAAAAGGGAAGGGCCATGTTTTATTCAGTTTTATTTTTCCATTTCTTTGAGACCTGATCCTGTCCACTGAAAGAAAACCAACCTCAAAGTAGGTTAGTGAATGCTTTATTCATTGTCTTCCTGAGGACTATAGTTTGGCAGGTGGTCTTTCTGATTGCTCTGAAGAGTTGCTCCAAAGCTTGTTACAAGAGGAAAGGGGGACCTGCTTTCAATCAGTACTCCAAATACTTGCACATTACAAGGTATAATTTGCTATGGTTGTAAAAAGTAAAGTTTACTGATTTACATGTAGACCTGAGAAAGACCCTTAGGTCATCTAAATACATTATATTTCTGTTATATCTGATTGTTTGACAATGTTGCTTGCCTGCCTCTGCTTGACTGGTTTTCCAGTTCTTTCCAGTTTTGATTTCTCATTGAGGTCAGTTAGTGGAGGCTGTAACCTCCTGTGACCAGTTACCTATTGCAGTTTTAGTGCACAGTCCCACACTCAGTAGAATAAATGCTTAATAAAAGAAGTTTGGGGCTTTTCAGCTCTTCTATCTAGTGTGGCTCTGAGGGTGTGAATTTGCCGGGGAAGATTTACAAAACCCAAGGATCTGAATGTGAAAATGGTTTGTGGTTAAAAAAAAAAAAGTCACCTTTCTCATTTTTAAAAATCGTAAGATAAAAAGTGTAAAGTAGAGTAGGAGAGCCCTGCCAGGTTGCATTCTCTCGGTGCCTTACCCTCATAAATGAGTTATTTTAATTGTGAGAGTAAAAGAGGAAAATCCATGCTGGATTTCCCCAAGAATTCCAGTAAGGGCAAAGAAAAGTCAGTGTTAGGTCTATATTGAATGACCATGGATTTACCTCGCATTTTAGGGAAGGAAAGCCAGTGTGATAAGGAATCTTCTCTAGCACGTGGTCCCTATGAGTCTGGAAGGAAATCTGGGGGTGATCACCCAGAAACATGTCCCAGTGTTGGCGCCCAAACCTCCACTAAGGTATTTGAAAAAAGAAGGCAGGTAGGTCCTTCCTTCCTCCCTCCCTCCCTCCCTTTTTCTTTCTTTCTTTCTTTCTTTCTTTCTTTCTTTCTTTCTTTCTTTCTTTCTTTCTTTCTTTCTCTTTCTTTCTTTCTTTCTTTCTTTCTTTCTTTCTTTCTTTCTCTTCTTTTTCTTTCTTTCCTTCCTTCCTTTCCTTTCTCTTTCTTTCTCGTTCCCTCCCTTCCTTCCTTCCTTCCTTCCTTCCTTCCTTCCTTCCTTCCTTCCTTCCTTCCCCTTTCTAAGACAGGTTCTTTGCCCCAGTCCCAGGTACCTGGAAAGCACTGGTAGGAGGCCCAGGTCTTTGCAGTGAGTGCAGGAACAGGGAGAATGGTGGGAGCACTGCTGGCCAGCCCTCACAAGCTGGATTGTGCAAGGTTCAGAGTCTTGGATACTCCCCAAACTTTCCTTAAACAGAAAACCCAGAAAAGCCTTTCAGCTTCTTTTAGATATTGTGCCAGATTTTCTGGGGTAGAAAAAAATCAAGACCTCAGTTTTCCAAATGGCTTCCTCCTGGGAGTGTCACCACCTCCCAGAGGGAGGGAGTATGCACCCTTTGTCCACCCACTACCTGCAGACTCATTGGATCTCTGCTTCTCACATTTTGCCCACTTTGAGCAGGGTCTTATCTTTTTTAAGTTTTTATTTTGATTCCAGTTAATTAACATACAGTGCTATATTAGTTTTAGGTGTACAATATATTCAACAATTGTATACATCATTCAGTGCTCATCACAAGTGCACTCCTTAATTCCTATCACCTATTTCACCCATCCCCCAGCCAACCTCCTCTCCCCTTCCCCCCCCGCTCCCCCCCCCCCCCCCGTAACCATCAGACTGTTCCCTATAGTTAAGAGTCTGTTTCTTGGTTTGTCTCTTCTTTTTCCTTTGTTTTGGTTCTTAAATTCCACAAATGAGTGAAATCATATGGTATTTGTCTTTCTCTGACTTATTTTGCTTAGTATTATACTGTAGCTTCATCCATGTCATTGCAAATGGCAAGATTTCATTCTTTTTTATGGTCAAATAATATTCCACTGTATATATATACCACATCTTCTTCGTCCATTCATCAATCAATGGACACTTGGGCTGCTTCCATGTCTTGGCTATTATAAATAATGCTGCTGTAAACATAGGGGTGCATATATCCCTTTGAATTAGTGTTTTTGTATTCTTTGGAAAAGTACCCAGCAGTGTAATTACCAGATCATAGGGTAGTTCTATTCCTAACTTTTTGAGGAACCTGCTCAAACATACTGTTTTCCAGTGTGGCTGCACCAGTTTTCATACCCACCAACAGTGTATGAGAGTTCCTTTTTCTCCACATCCTCACCGACACCTGTTGTTTCTTGTGTTGTTGATTTTAGCCATTTTGACAGGTGTGAGGTTGTCTCGTTGTAGTTTTGATTTCAGTGTCTTATTTTAAGTCTATTTATTTGGGGAGGGGAGGGGCAGAAAGAGAGGGACAGAGAATCCCAAGCAGGCTTGCACTCTCAGGGCTCGATCTCATATATCGTGAGATCATGACCTGAGCTGAAATCAAGAGTCAGATGATTAACCGACAGAGCCACCCAGGCACCCCAACAATGTCTTACCTACCTGGTCTGTCTTTCAGAAGTGACTCATGAACCCAACCTGTTTGTCCAGTGAATCTCTGGGAGAGGTGGCTACAATTTCTTTGAAAGAACATCAGATATGAAGAACCATTAAGTACTGTAATATTGCTAACAGGATTGCCATGTCATTTGAATAACTTTTATGTTGTTCATAGGAAACATTGCAATTCTTACTATCTGTAACGAAAACCAAATAGATGTTAGATAGTTGCCTGAGAACTTATTTTATGGCCTTTAATGGAAGGGCAGAGGTTCTAGTTCTGGGCTAGTCTCAGAATTTTGCATTGCAGATGTGTGGTAAATATCCGTTTAATTAAATTGAGTTTGCTAAGCAATTGACCTCATCCGGGATAGTTCCATCTATTAGGGTTCTTTTTTTTTTTTCTTTTTTTTTTTTCTTTTAATCACTTAAGGCTTCAGGTGTCTATTTAGACATCTGGCTCATTTTCTGTGATCTGATTTTTAAAAGGTATAGTTAAATCAATACAAATCCATCTCTACTGCTTAGATCAAGGTAGAAATGCTCTTCCAGTTTTATGGAAATTAGTTCCAGTTAGCCTACACAACACTGAGAATATACATAAAGAACAATAGAATTACATAACATAAATGTCACGGTGAAATGTTCCCAGTTAAAAGGGGAGCATCCTTTCTTCTCTTTTTGTGTTAGGGTTGAAACGTCAGCAGAATAGAATGAATTTATTCAGGGTGATGTTTTAGTCACTGTTCTGGTCACGGGTGAGTTACTGTGCTGTACGCTAATGTCAAAACCAACTTGTGTTCAGTGAGCTGAATACAGGTTGCCGAATGCTTTTTGAATGGGTTTTTGTCAATCTATTATTTCCAACACTTAAAAGGGGAATTATTTTCAAAAATAAAACACAACCAAACAAAATATTTACCTGTGACAGTCCCAGATTCCTAAGTAAAATGAGCTGTGTTAGTATCATAATCAAGATTCTTGGTCAATCTTTATTTCCAATTTACTGATTGTAAATTCAGACTGCTTTATAAACACCTAAAAGGTTCTGTTTACTTTTATTTTACCTGGAGTACCAAAGTCCCAGTCCCCCATCCAGGGAAGTCCTGGGAGATGAAAGGCCATGCTGTTGCTGAGAGTCAGAGCTATATGGTTTCAGGCAGGGTTAACAACAGAGAGCAATTAAACCGGGATTGGAATGAAAAAGACATTCTCTGGAGCCAGATCTATTTGTTGACATCATTGCCGTATCTGAACTGAGTTTTCTAAACATTAGACACCAATGAATCACTGAATACTACTGAGCAACTAGCCTTTGGCCAATGGTCTGGGATATTCTTGCCTTCCACTCCACTGCCCTCTCTTCCTCCAGCCATCAGCTGGGACTGAATTGAAACTATACAAATACTGGAAGAAAACATTGGTGAACTGTATAATCTGGAGAACGAGTTTCTAACTATGAGTCAAAAATCTAGATGCAATAAAGGAAAAATCATTAAATGTGACTACATTAAAAAAAAATATGCCAAAATCACCAAAGCAATGTCAGAAAACAGATGAGAAGCTGGGAGAAAATATTTGCAACTTATACTACAAAGGACTAATGCTACTATATAAAGAGCATGTAAGAACTAAGAAGAAAAAGACCAAACAATTTTAAAAAATGAACAAAAGTCATGAACGGTTCATGGTGGGGTGGGGGGGGAACAAAACAACAAAGAGGCAATGCTTTTAAACATATGAAAAGATGTTCAACCTCACTCATAATACAGGATATGGTAATTAAAACTATAGGAGATAAAACATCTCTCCCCTATCAGATTGGTAAAAATCCAAAGATGTCCATGTATTACTGTTAGTAAGGCTGTGAAGAAGCACTCAGATATAGCTGGGGAGAGGACAAAATGATACAAGCCCTATAGGGAGAAATTTGACAATAGCTAACAAAAATATATGTGTATTTGTCCTTTGACCTAACAATCCCATTTCTAGGAATCTAGGAATCTGGATTGGTGGATATTTATCCATCAATACAAAAGAGTATTTACACTAATATATTTCTAGTGAAAGCATGGTCTACGGAACAGCAGCCTCAGCTACCTGGGTGCTTGTTAGAAATGCTGAGTCTCAGGACCTACTGAATCAGAATCTGCATTTTAACAATACCCCAGATCATTTACATGTGCATTCAAGCTTGAGAAGCACTGCACTAGGTTATTCGTGGCATTATTGGTAATGACCCAAATGGAAACAACCCAAATGGCCACCAGTGACACATGAAATACAATCAGCCATGAAAAGGAATAAGGATGCTGTGTAGCAAATACAGAGATTTCCAAAATTTATTGTCAAGTGAAAAAAGCAAGTTGCAGAACTATCGACAGATAACAAAGGGATAGGTAATAGAATGACACTCTTTTGATAAGTGTGCACACGCATACACACATACATGTTTGCAAAAAGGTCAGCTGGAAAGACAAGCCTGAAGCTAAACAAAACTGGGTTGATATCTCTGGGCATTACTTTATGTTTCACTACTCCAAAAATAAAATTTAAACCGTCACAACTGGGAGAGGGATGCTACAGGCATGCAGTGGGTAGAGGGGCCAGGGATGCTGTTAAACATTCTGTAGTGCCACAGCACAACAAAGAATTATCCAGCTCAGGTGTTAACAGTGTCCATGTTGAGAAACCCTGGCCTAGGGTAAGGATGGAGGAAACGCAAAAACAATTTGAGGTTTCCAAAATTAAACTCATTGTTAAAACGTGGCTAGCGTTTTCCCCTTCTCCTCTCACCTTTCCGTTCTCCATGACTGCTCCAAGGTGGCAAACATGGACTTTGTACACATTTGTATAATTTGTTAGTACCCTGGAGTTTAATTCACATGGGCCAGAAGACTACTGCATTATGAACACACAAGATGATCGTGTAGGCTTTATTTAAAATTTCTGTCCCGCACTGTGCAACTTATGCCTACGTACCAAGAACTGGCACTTTTCTGGTCACTGACAACATTAAGTCACAGTCTCTTTACCAAGTCACAGTAAAGCGCTGGTGTGTCCGCGTACTGTCGCTCTCTGACTGAAAACTCCAGAGGTTTTCGTTTGATTCATCTACCTGGTGGCCCAGTGGGCGAGGTCAACGCAACTAGACTAGAAAAGTACGCGCGGCCCATAGGCCGGCCCCAGGGTGACGGTCAAAGTGCAGTGGAGTACTTGGCGCACACCTGGTCACCTCCCTTCACCGCCCTCCTGGGAGCCCCAGGCTGCTGACGGACAGCCGCCCCGGGATCTGGAGATGGGCGGTGCGCTGGCTCGCTTCCCCTGACTCCGCCCGCCCTCCGGCTCCGCTGGTATTTGAGGCCCGGAGCTTCTCCCTTCTCTCCAGACCGCCGCGCCAACCCTCCGAGGTATCGTGTGGTGTGGGACCTGCCCCGGCCCGCGGGGACGAGTCCTCCACTCCAAGGCCAGGAAAGCGCCGGAGGCAGGGTGGGGCCGCGAGGAGCGCGTGGAGGGGCTGAGCTTGGTAGCTCAGGGATCGGGGTTTGCGGGGGACGGGGGCGTGGCCATGCAGGGCCCGGGGGCACGTAGGGAGGGCGTGGCCTCGCGGGGGTCGGGGACGCGCGTGGGTAGGGCGTGGCCTCCCGGGGTCGGGGCGCGCGTGGGTAGGGGCGTGGTCACGCGGGGCCGTGACCCTCGAAATCTTGACGGGGAGGGGGTGGGGTATGAGCGTTTGGGCTCGGGTTCCCTTGAAAAGTCCAGTGGTCTGGCGGACAGTGACACCATCTGGTGAGTAGTGTCTGGCCGCCCAGACCCGGACGCGCAGCCCCGGGTCCGCAGTGGAGGCAGCGGGAGCCGGCATGGGGGCTGCGCTGAGCGTCCAGAGCTGCTGCGCGGGGCCCCGCAGCCACAGGTGACCCCGCGAGGCCTCCGGCCACAGGTGACCTCGCCTGTTCTGTCCGCGAGGCGCCGGGCGTTGGGAACCCAGGGTGGGGGGCTTGGAGGCCTGAGAGAAGGCCAGGGGTCGGTGCCAAAGGCGGCCGAATTTGGGCTCCCCAGCGCCTATTCACTGAAACTGCTCCTTGGTGATCTTCCTGCCCACCCGGTGTGGCCTGCTGGCCTGTGGTCAGGTGCTTCGCAAATTCCGCAGCACCTTCCAGGTTACTTAGGCCTGCGAACATAATCGTGAGCATCATTCCAGATATTGTTACCTCTGGGGCGCCTGGGTGGCTCAGTCAGTTAAGCCAGATATTGTTACCTCTGTTTTGTTTTGTTTTGTTTTTTATTAAACTTACTGCAGACAAAATATTACAAGATGTGGTGTCTTCAGGGCTAAGAGGACAATGGGGAAATTTTTAATCATACTTGGGGTTTGTGTGCTAGATGAAATTGGCACATGAATTACTTTCTTCCCCCTCTTCCCCACATAAAGCTCAAGTTTAGAAAAGAGAAGTATGGAAAATTAATATTCATATGCTGCCAGGAATACCTAGATGCCAGGGTGGAACTGGGTCAGTGTTGGTACTTTTGCTGCCTGGGCCTGTACAACTGTACCTGGGGACAGGAATATGACCCGAGGCTACCTGCTTCCTCCTGGGTGTGGTTTAGGACTGGTGTGGTGAGATGGGAAGAAATGAGAAAAATAACCTTGGATTCAGCATTGTATTGCTGCATTGTATTTCTGGGGCTAAGAAATGTGCACTCTGGTTGACATGAATGAAACTGTTATCAGTATTACAGGGTGTGTTCCAGTATTGCATGATTACTTTTGAGTGATTGTATCCTTCGGTTTATACCATCACAGAGAAAGGGTGCAATTTTAGTCATACTTGGCCACATAAACTAAATATTTAAAATTATACAAGGCCAATTCCAATTCAAGGCATTTTATTACATTTTAGCATCTTATAGTTAGCTCCACCTGTAAGAGTAGAGTGAAATTAGAATGAATGGAGTCATCATTATTTTCTGTTCATACTAAGAGCACCCTCTATCACACCAAGTGTGTGTTGTAAGACCTGGGGAGGGGGTGGGGGAGGAACCACACACCTTATGTTTCCAAGCTTGCTGACCTGAGATCAGGCCTAGACAGAAGAAAGGAAATAGTGTATAATCCTACCCATTTGTTGAATACCCACTGTGTGCCAGACATTACTTTATTTAATCCTCACAGTAAACCTGCAAATAGAAGGAATCATCCAGGGACACCTGGGTGGCTCAGGTGGTTAAGCTTCTGACTTCGGCTCAGGTCACCATCTCATGGTTGGTGAGTTTGAGCTCTGAATGGGAATCTGTGCTGACAGCTCAGAGCCTGGAGCCTGCTTTGGATTGTGTCTGTCTCTCTCTGGGGGGGGCCGCCCCCCCCACTTGTGCTCTGTCTCTCTCAAAAATAAATAAACATGAAAAAAAACTAAAAAAATAGAAAGAACCATCCCCTGTTTACATACTAGAGAACTGTTGTTCAGAGAAGTAAAATACACATATGCTTACACACAGTATACACACAAGTACACCAGAAAACAAAGGTAGGGATGAAGCGGAAGCCCACGTCTCCATTAAGCCAATCTTTAAATGGTTGGATTTTGTAGGAAATTAAGGCATCTTTAATCCAAGAAGCACAAATAGTGACACCTTAAAAAGTTAACAATCAGTTGAATCAAATCAATTGTGAACAATAATTGCTCAAAGATACTAATATGGGGAAAATTAGTGCTAGGGGGAAAATAATAGTGCTAGGATAGATTTGATTTGTTAGTCTTGTTTTATACACACACTCATGTGAAATAGAAAACCTTACTACCCAATTTTTATGTTTGTGATTAAGTATTGTTTTTATTTTTAAAAGGTATACTGTTATTAAAACCATAAATAACTTTGGAATATATAATGCATTTTGCACGTGTATGTGTACATCTGTGTGTTGTATATGAAGGACACTTTTGGCTGTCTTACTGAAACCAAAATAGTAGGGACTTGGAAAGCCAGTGATAGGTGTTGAGTTTCCAATGTGATCTGTGAGATATGCATCCTTATTACTGGCGTGTTCATTGAATGGATAAGAGAAATTTTGCACTTCCTTAAAAAAAAAAAAAAAAGAAATCCCACACTATAAAAATCTCACTAGATTGTTTATAATTTTCTTTGATATTTGAAATATTGTAGTGAGTGGTAAACTATTTAAATTTGAGTTTATTTTTGTTTCTCTTCTAGAACTAAGATCACTTTGATCTTTTATGATTATTAAGAATTTGTATGTTATTACAAAGTGATAATGAAAGTTCTATGATTATGTACTAGTGGCCTATAATTAGTGGGCTATTTTCAAATTCACGTTTTATGGGTCGCCTGGGTGGCTCAGTCGGTTAAGCGGCCGACTTCAGCTCAGGTCAGGTCATGATCTCACAGTCTGTGAGTTCGAGCCCCGCGTCGGGCTCTGTGCTGACAGCTCAGAGCCTGGAGCCTGTTTCAGATTCTGTGTCTCCCTCTCTCTGACCCTCCCTTGTTCATGCTCTGTCTCTCTCTGTCTCAAAAATAAATAAAATGTTAAAAAAAATTAAAAAAAATTCACATTTTAGGGCAAGATGGATTTTAATAAATAGCATTCAATGCTTGGGCATTTATTTCACAAGTAAAAGAGGAATTGGGTAATAGCCAAAGAAATGGCTTTTAAACATTATTGTTTAACTGTGCTCACAAAAGTAGTTGGTAAATTTGTGATCATATGTGTTCAGTTCCTTTCTCTCATAAAACTCTACTAAAAATGACATCAAGGAGCCCTTGAAAGCATTAAAAACAAAGGACAAAGAAAAGGAGAGGGGACAAACAGTGGCCAAGTGATGTCAGAATTTGGGAGGAAAGTGATGGAGGAGGAGTTCCATGACAGTGGTCAAGGTTGGAGGCTCCAGTACCTGCAAAGGCAGGAATGAAGTGCAGGGCTGCAAAATGGGGCCCTGTTAGAAAGCGTGTTGCCAGATCCATTAGACCCCCTGGTATCCCTGAACCTGGCAACTAGGCAGCCACCTGCCAGAAGATCGGGTTTCAGCCATTTGGGATCTGATGCTCAAACTCAGGGACCCCAAGCACTGGGTTGAATTGAGGAGATTACTGATCTGATAGAAATTCCCCAGCCCTACCCTGCTTGCTTCCAGAACACCACCAGCAGCCAGATCAGAAGGTTTCTCCCATTTGCTGTACAGCAACAAAAAAATGCAGCGATCAGGTGATCACACTGCATGAAAGCCTCCAGCTGACTTCCTCTCCATGTAAACAGAATTTGCAACATTGTTTTGTGTTTTCCTCTTAAATGTGACTGCTCCCCAAGGATTGTCCCCCATTTGTGGGAAGCCTGTGTATGAAATAGACTTAGATAAAGCAAACACCAACCACAATAACAGCAACAACAAAAGCCTCAGAGAGAGATGGTGAGTGTAGGGAGCAGAAGACATCTCAATAAAACTGTAATGTTGTTCTCCAAGGAATTGGAATGGAGGGCTGTAAAGAAGGAACAGCAGAGAATAAGAAGAAATCCTTGGAAGTTAAAAATATAATGGCTCAAATTAGAAAAAAATCAGTAGAAAACTTGGAAGATAAAGTCATGGACATCCTTCCGGAAATGGAACAAAAATGGCACTGTGATGGAAAATGCAAGAGAAGAAGAGAAGAAAGAGCAGAGCTTTCCACCTCTGTAGCAAGCAGCCTTGCCCATCTCACAGCACCCTACAAATACTGTTTTCAGTGTGTGCCGTGATGAAGGCGCTTAGTATCTGGTAGATCAGTCCACGAGTTCTAGTGTCTGACTAATAGAGGATACAGAAAAAGAGAACAGAGTCAGTCTGAGGGAACTAACTCCTGACTTAATTTTTTTCCCAGAGAGGAAGGAAAATTTGAATTGCTAGATTGGAAGGGTCCCCCAAGTGCACAGCAAAATAAGTAAATGGGGCCCCTCTTAAGGACACACTGTGACATCTCAGAACATCAGGGATAAGGATAAGAATTTGTGAGCTTTTTGAGAATGAGGATGTGGGGAAGGGGGAATGGAGCTGGGGTCAGAATGTCATCAGACTTCCCAACAGCAGAGCTGAAGGCTGGAAAGCAATAAAGCAATGTGTCAGAAATTTGGATGTAAAATAATGTGTAGTGCATTCCAGACCCTGAGAAACTGTCAGTCATGTGGAATGGTAAAGACTTCTGGGCATGCAAGATCCCAAAATGTATGCATTCTGTTTTAGAAAACTATTGGACGATTTCCTTCATCAAAATGAGGTAAACAATGAAGCAGGAAGACATTGGGGTCTGACACAAAGGGTATTTTTAGCAAAGAGATACCTCAGAGAAGATAGCAGTGTGGCAGGCTGAAGAGCAGTCCAAAATGTGGCTGATAAACAGTTGAATCAACACGTAGGTATAGTGAAAGAGAAAAGTGATGCACTTGCAGCCCAGATGAACACCTCTAAGTGCAATTATGTTTTATTTTATTTTATTTTTATTTTATTTTTAATTTTTTGTATTTAAAAAAATTTTTTTAATGTTTTGAGAGAGAGAGAGAGAGACAGAGTGTGAGCGGGGGAGGGGCAGAGAGCCAGAGGGAGACACAGAATCTGAAGCAGGCTCCAGGCTCTGAGCTGTCAGCACAGAACCTGATGTGGGGCTCGAACCCACAAGCTGTGAGATCATGACCTGAGCCAAAGTCAGATGCTTAACTGACTGAGCCACCCAGGTGCCCCTAAGTGCAATTATGTTTTAGAAAAATTAGGTGTATAAAAACTTTATGTGGCAGTCTCATTTACAGCATAGCATCTTAAGGACTTGCAAGGAAACCTCTATCCAGCTTTGTCCATGGGTGTGGCCCAAACAATAACACCAAAACTCACACTTCTTGAAGATTCAGATTTTGTATTTACAATTCTCCATTAAAAGAAACCAGGAGAAGGGCTGATACCTCATGTCTTTGGACTGGAAATAAAATAGATAGGTAAGTAGATAGATAGATAGATAGATAGATAGATAGATAGATAAGAACCAGGGTTGTTGCCCTAGAGCAGGGATGTTTGAGATCAACATGTCAAGATAAAATAATCAATTTCAAGAGACCCCCCACTAGCACAGTTAATGACAGTTTGAACGCCAACAAGAAAACCAAGATCAGCTAATTTAAATGCATTGTCAAGGGGCGCCTGGGTGGCGCA